CTGGTAGCAGGAGGGAAATAAATACTTTTAAAATTACAGATACTTAGCTAACTGCATCTAAAAGCCACTGTTCGCTTAAACTGATTTTATTGTGTAACACGCTTCAGAATTTGAACTGTACTATACAGAATGTGAAACTGTACTATAAATAAGTGTACGGTAGAGTTCCCCAATTTGAAAATGTTCAAAAAAAGATTTTTAAATCAGCACCTGATTTAATCGAGGAGTAGTGTTTTAAATCAGCACACAATTTAATTTAGTGATTTGTTTCTTTAAAGCAGGGGTGTCAAACTCAATTTCACTGAGAGCTGCATCAGTGTTGTGTTTGACCTTGGAGGGTGGGGGGCAGGTATAGCGTGGCCAGCTCAACATTACTTGTGTCGGGGGCACCTGTGGTAGCCCGAGAGCTGTCAGTGGAAACGGGCTCCCGAACTCCGTTTTCAGCTACAACGGCCTCCTGCCAGCGAAAGTAGAGCTTGGGTGGACTGCATTTCTGCTAGCAGAGGCACCGCAGGCCGGTCCTTCGCTGTTTCCAGGGCAGCCCCGCAGGCTAGATCTAAGCACTCCATTGGCTGCATCCGGCCTATGGGCCTTGAGTTTGATACCCCTGGTTTAAAGGATAAGCATTTCTGTGCCAAATCTTTATAAAGTTTTATTTTTGTTCCCACAATATAGCGGCTCATATTATACATCAGTTCAAAGCGCTACCTCATCTGTTTATTTTCAAGTACTTTTATGCCTTTCCCATAAAAATGAATCCGAGTGGCTTACTATAGCAATACACCAAAAACAACCATTCAAAAATACATATAAATATCTGCAATTAAAGATCATAAAAATCACCATCACACAACCATCACTGATGCCAACTGATACCCATCCCAAATATATTATAAGGTTTATACATCAATTAAAATTGGTATTATTCTTTTTCTCTATAAAAATCTTTCTGGGGTTTGGTAGCACCTTCACAAACTCCAGTACTGGAAATCTGGTATCACAAAGCTTTGGATTTGTTTTCCAACTATAAAATAATCATTAATGACAAAAACACAAAGTACCAAAGTGACTTACATATACCATCTAATAACTTGGCAAGTTTAAGACTTGTGGACTTCAACTCCCAGAATTCCTGAGCTAACATGACTGGAGGAGGAATTCTAGGAGTTGAAGTCCACAAGTCTTAAAGCTGTCAAATTTGAAGGCCCCGGGTATATAGTCCCCTACTTGAGCAGGGGGTTGGACCTCCAAGGTTCCTTCCAACTCTGTTATTCTATGTTCTATCCAGGAAAGAGAAACACCACACTTTCCTAAGCCTCTTTCCCAATCTGCTCTTACAACAGGAAGTTTTTCTTACCCTCAACTAAAATCTTCCTTCATGTAATTTAAATATTTTACAGCATATCTTGTCCCAAATTACAAAGAACAGGTCTTTGCTTTCTTTGTGTGACAACCCTTAAGATATTTGAAGAGGGTGATTATAATTGCATTATGACTTTTTGTCACAAAGTTAAACATACTCAATTTCCACAAGTTCTTCTTATAAGAGTCCAATTCCCTGAGCATCCACACTTACTGTACTTCACTTTAGGCGGCATCTGAGCTGTGCAGACTAGAACAGAATGCAGCTATTGTTTTATATGGAAACGGTAATGCCAATATTTTATGCAATCTAAATTTGATTTTGCCCCTTGGAACAGGCAACTATTTGCAGGCCCTGCCATTCTTTAAGACAATGTTTGCCTTCCCCCTTCCAAAAAGGGTTTCTCAGACCCCATCTGTAATTTTAGCGTTCAAGAAGTGCTATCCTGAACTGTAATATTAATTCAAACTGTACACAATATGTAAGGACATGTAGGAAGTTTTTAAAAACTTTCAGCCATGCAACAGATACTTTCTTCTCTGCAGATTGGAAACAGGCCTGATTGTCCATTTAAAAACAATCCCAAAAGTAGCTCATCTTGAATTTAAATTAACTTCCCAAATTAAAAAAGGGAAGGGAATTTTTTTCCATCTGCTCTTCTTGTTAAGCCTGATCAGTTTTATCCCTCCAGCAGAAAAGTCAAAACTGAAAACAGTGTGCAATTTCACAGGAATGCACACAGTACAATAATTTAAGGACTCCTGGCTATCACCTTTTCTTGGATGTTCCAATAACAAACCTTGGAAGAGTTTCCTTTAAAAGCAGATAGTTACTTATAAAACTCTGGATCTTCTAGACAATCTGAATGACCTTCCCACACAATATCATTATTAGATTTTTATCCTACCTTTTTAAAATATATGTTTTGGTCAGCTCAAGGCTGTGACCATTCCTAATATGTCTGTTTTCCCCACAACAATCCTGCGAGGGGGGATTGGGTTGAGAGTGTACGACAGGACCTACAGTTAGTCAGTTTTCATGCCTAAAGAAGGCCTAAATCTCTCAGTCTTCTCATTTCTAGACCAGAATTTTGAATACTACACCAAAGTGGCTCTCCATTTTTAAAAATAGTTTATATTCTTTATTGTTTGTATAAACTTGCCTCCAGAAATTTTGAGCGTTCCATCACTGGAGGTTTTTAAGAAGAGACTAGTCACTTGTCTGAAATAGTATAGTTCTTCTAAGTGAGCAGGGGGCTGGACTAGAAGATCTCGGAGATCCCTTCCAGCTCTATTCTATTCTATTCTAAATGTAATATATGCATATAAAATGCATGTGCATATAAAAGATTTGTATCAAAATATTTTACAATCTTTGTAAGTCAAGTAGCTTCTTTTCCTACCCCAAAACAGTCAAGTCTGATAGAAACAGAGGATCAGGCTATTTGGAGCTATTTGCCCCTAGAAGGATCACCGCCAGACAGGACGTTCTCCCTCATTTACATCGTCCAAATCCATTTAGAAAGTGAGAGGAAATTCCAAATTTACTTTCACATCACTCACCATTTTCATAATATTGGATACAATTGCTTTACTTAAGAGACAACAAAAAGGGGGGAACTACAGGCAGTCCTTAACTTACAGCTATTCGTTTAGTGACCAAAGTTAAAACAGCACTGAAAAAAGTGACATGTTTTTCACACTTGCAACTGTAGCAGCATAGCCAAGGTCATGTCATCAAAATTGAGGCGCTTGGCACTGGCATGTATTGTGACCCACAACATCACCAAGAGCCTGATGCAATTGAATGGGTATCATCATCATCACCACAATTGCAGTGTTCCAGGGTCCTGTGATCACCTTTTCAGACCTTCTTGCAAGCAAAGTCAATCGGGAAGCCAGATTCACTTAACAACCATGTTATTAACTTAATAACTGCAGTGATTCACTTAATTATAACAAGAAAGGCCATAAAATGAGGCATAATTCACAATATAACACATAGCATATAACAATATAATTCACTATATTCTTTGCGATGGAACTTTTGGGCTCAATTGTTTTTGTAACATTAAAAATATTAAAAATATTTGTCTTCTGGTCTACATTTGTTAGACATGTTTTATTTGTATCCTGCCTTTATTATTTTTACAAATAATTCAAGACAACGGATATATCCCACACAAATGGGGGGAGGGGTATTTTCCCTACAACATCCCTGTGAGATGGGTCAGACTCTAAGTTTTAGTCTTCTCAATTGTTTTTGTTTACTTGTAGTCTTCATTTTAGTTTTAAATGTGTACATTTTCATATTTAATATTCTGTAAATTGCCTTGAGTTTGTTAAATGTTAAAAAATCTCATATTTTAAAATTTGTGTGAATGCCAAAGAAAGCAATAAAAATCAACATCAGAGACAGATGCTACAGAGAGAACAGAACACCTAACGTTGGCAAATGAGCAGGGGAAGAGAAAGATAGAGGGACTGCAGGGAAAAATTCATGTCTTAAAAAGTGCTTTTAACGTTATTATTTTGAGTAATTTTCTCACGCTAACAGAAGGAAAAAAATGTATATCCCTCACATATAAATTTGCTTTCTCCACAGGACCTTGAAGGGAGAAAAGGGGAAATGTTTTGCCATCTAAAAGAGTCCGGTTTTAAAACTATTCCCTAATAAGCCCATCATCTCAGCCAATCAGAGTCAAGATTAACAAAGCAGCTCAAAGAGTGAGTGAAAACAGATAAATGTTTTTATGCTTTGCAACAGCCGGCTACAACAATGCTTGCTGATTTTCTTTAACTATCTTATTTCCGGACCAGCAAAATTCCACTCCACTCTTCAAAGCACCAAAGGCAGGAGGGAGGTGATAAACAGGATCCATTCAAAGAAAATAGTCATCACTTTGTATATAAATTCCTGAAGGATCAAAGCACAGTTGAAGAGTCCAAATGAAAAAGAAGATCTTTATAGATACCTAGAGGTCCTCTGGCACTGTTACATCAAAAATCTCAAAAAGTCTCAGCAAGCACAATAGGTTTTCAACACATTATAATTGTTAACTATTAGATACCTGTTATCCGGCTCACAACTATCCTCTCTTCCCTTCCAGCCTCATCCCAATTTAAACCTCCATCAAGCATCCCATATAGTAAGCTGCAGCTATTGCTCTTTGAAAGCTTTTACATCACCTCTGCCTGAATGCTGATGTACACATCTGACTTACCTTGTGACTTGTAAAGACTGAAACTCTATACAAGGGGGGGGAAAAGAATCTTCCATCTGCACTAAAGACTTTTTTATACTAAGCGTTTACTTTGCATTTCAGACATTTGCTGTATTTCATGGCAACTAGCTAGCCTTGTAATAAATGAAAATACTAAGCACTGTAACTGAATATATCCCCCTAAAATCCTTTTATCATCACCAAACCTGCGCATTTAAAGAAATTAATATTATTATAAAACCCTTCGATGCAATCTCAACCGGAAATTGAAACGTTAGGAATCTTCTAGCTATATCAAACTTTCTTTTGACAAAAGGGATACGGGGGAGGGAGAAATATATAAATATATATAAATATATAAGCGTCTGGAGATGCTGCTAAGAGCCCAGAGGGACTGAAAGTATTTGCTCTCACCAGTGTCCCCATCCCTCCTCCAGCTGTCATTGGGCCCTTCAGAAGCCTCGGTAGGAAAAAGGAGCCGGCGAGATTCCCCGCTTTTCGTTTCCTTCCTCTCGAGGAGGAGGGAATCCAGTTTCCTTCCTCCCACTCTCGCCTTCCAGAGAGCTCAGAAAAGCCTGAACTTTCGGGGGGAAAAAGAGCCAGGAAAGGCGCGCCAGCCGGGAGAAGGAGAAGCCGGGGGGGGGGGGCGCTTCCTCCGCGCTCACTTTCTGGGCAACTCAACCCCAACTCCCCGCGAACCGCCAACGCCAAATGCCGGCCCGTCCGCGTCCCCTTTGATTGCGCCCCTCGCGTTCACACGACCCTAATTGGCGTCCCGCGCAACACGCATCTTCCGAGCGGGCCCCGTCGCGCCGAAAGGAAAGGGAGACCACGGGGGGGGGGGGCTTTAACGGGGGGGGGGGTGTAACTCTGTCCCTCCACTTCTTCCGCCAAGCCGCCCCCCGTCCCGAGAGACTTTCCCAGCCGGGGCCACTTTCCCGGGGCAAAGCCGGCACTGCTCCCTGGGGTCGAGCGGGAGGCAGGCAGGCAGGCTCGGGCGAGAGGGTCGTCGTCCCTCCCCGCGCGTCTGGGGCAGAAGTTGGGCCCCCCGAGAGTGGGGAGAGCCCGGGCAGAAAAGAGGTCCCGAGCTCGCTCCGCTCTCCGCTGGGAGGGGGGGGGGACGGTCGAAAGGGGCCCCCGTCCTGCCTGGAGGAGACCAGCCGGGCCCTCCGCGGGGAAGGAAGCGGGAGCCCCGCAGCGGGACGAAGGCGGCCGGGGGAGGCGAGGCGGTGGCAGAGGGACCCCACGGGGGTCTTTTCTTCAGGCAGCCCGCGGGGAGGGCGCCCTGCTCAGCCCTCCCTGCCCCTCCGACCCCGCGCTCGCGCCGACACCGCCGCCTCAAAAGGAGGCACCGCGACCCCCCTCCCCGTGGGCCCCGCTGCCCCCCGAAACGGCCCCGGGCGGGGGCGGAGAGCGGCCGCGGAGGGAGGCGGGGGGGGGCTCCCAACTGCGCCTTTACCTTTAGTTCCGCACTGTCCGCCATTTTGAATCGTGGGGCGCAAGCGCAGTGAACCCCGCCGGGAGACCGCCTTCCCCGCCCCCGCCCCGCGCCCGGCGTTTGAATCCGCGGCGCGCGCGCGGCAGCCATTTTGTCCGTCCCCCTCCGGGCGGGACGCCGCTGCCCGGGACGGGGGAGCTTCCTCGAGGGCCAGGCGGGACGATGGCGGGGTGGTGGTCTGCTTGGGGGGGGGGGTGACGGGTTGCCGAGGCGAAACCCACCATCGCTCTCCTGTCCTTTGGGGGGGGGATGACGCCCTTTCGCGCCCCGGTTCTTACCGCGGGGGCATTCACTGGAGAGGATGGCAGGTTCCGTGACGTCACGGCAGCTCAGCCAATGGCCGCAGAGGGGTGCTGTGAGCACTCTGGAGACTCTGGGCAACCTGATGGTTAAAGGGCTCGTCTGAATGACTGCAGGGGTACCTCAACGACCCCCCCCCGCTCCCCCAAGTATGACAAGCTCTGCATCTGAATGCAGCCTTCTTCTGCCAGGCTTCCCCTCCTAGAAGGAGAACTGCAGGAAACTGGTCCAAGAAGTGGAGAGAAGGACCGGGGGAGACATGATAGCAACGTTCCAGTACTTGAGGGGCTGCCACATTGAGGAGGGGGTTCACCCACAGTATTTTCCAAGGCACCTGAAGGCCAGACAAGGAACAATGGATGGAAACTGAACAAGAGGAGATTCCACCTAGAAATAAGGAGGAATTTCCTGACAGTGAGAACAATCAACCCATGGAACAGAAGTTGCCTTCGGAAGTTGTGGGAGAGTCATCTCTGGAAGCTTCCAAGAAGAGATTGGACTCCCACCTGCCAGAAATGGTGCAGGGTCTCCTGCTTGGGTGATGAGGGGAGGGTTGGACTAGATGACCTACAAGGTCCCTTCCAACTCTGTTAATCTGTTAAAGAAACAGGTTGAGCTGGGTTAGCAGACCTTCTGGGTGGCATCATTTCCCCCACAGCACTGTGGCCAGGAAGAAAAGGAGCAGAGGACTTTCCTTCAGCATCCCTCAGGGAAATTATTTTAGTCCAGAGCTGTGTCAAATTTTAATTCAATCGTATTGTAGTGTCATTTCCCCATGCAAGTAGGATTTCTGTGTAATTGCAGTGGTGAATTTTAATTCATTTTGGGGGACCAGCATCGGATATCTAAAATGGAAATGGAGACCCTCTCCTTGTTCACCAATTGAACTACCACCATCTTCTGGCCTGCCAAGAACATTGCAAATCAAGCTTCTTCATTCCTTTACCTTTTTTAAAAAAATAAAGTTTGATTTTTAAAAAAATCTCTTGTAGATGTTTCATTACCAAACTAGGTAACATCATCATGGCACTCTTTGTTATTTCTCTGTAAATGTGATAAAATAACTGTAATAGGAACACAGAAGTTTGTCTCATACTACGGTACCTGTAATGTTGGACTCTAGCAGACAGAACATTATTAGGGTCTCCCGGAACTAAACAAATTATGTATACACCTGTAAAATTGAAGAATTGTTTGTGCACCACTTTGTCTAAAGGGGAAATCTGAGACCCAGTTTGGTCTAGTGCTGTGATGGCGAACCTATGGCACGCGTGCCACGAACTGTTGCCCCAGATCAGGTGCACTGTGTATGCTCACGCGTCGCCAGCCAGCTGATCGTTGGGTATCTGCTGCGCAGTGGCGGGGCATGCGGGAGGTCACGCATGCATTGCATTATGAGTGCAGGCATGCATGCGCACACTTTGAGCACACGTGGACGAAAAGGTTACCCATCATTGGTCTAGTGATCTAAGGCAACTTGCTAGACACCAAGAGCCTTGAATTCTACTCCTACCTTAGGTATAAAAGCCAGCTGGGTGACTTTGAGTTAGTCACTCTCCTTCAGCCCAACTAACCTCATAAGGTTGTGGGCAAAATAGGAAGAGGAAAGTATTAATTATGTTTGGCACCTTGACTCATTTATAAAAATAAAAGAGGGATAAAAATAACTATGTTCTCGGAACTAATGTATTTGGAAGCTTGGATACTATGTATGTCAAAATGGTAAGAGATAATATATTTTATTATTATTTTTCTTAAGTTAGTTTATTGTCATTGCACCTCGTACAACGAAATCAAACACCATCTTCAGTGCACATCATGACCATGACCATGAAAATAAACACAAGCACACATCCTTCACCCTTCACACATTGAACCGGAAACTCCCGACACCACACCAACACTGCACTATACAGCAGAATTCAGAATACAGCTACTGCCATGGGATAGAAGCTGTTTTTCAGCCTGTTATAGCGCTATATTATAGCGATTCACCTGATAATTTCAGGCTGTTTCATTACTTTGTTGGGAATGAGATGACAGGAACGTCAGGGTGCCAAAAAGGGAACTGATATTGTTAGAGCACTTGTGCTATGATAAAGTATAAATGTGGACCACAGCAAGCAAAACAAAAAAGAGATCTTCAAACCTTACGGATTTGTAATCTGCAAGGAAAACTTTATCAGAAGTTGTTTCTATCAGAAAACAAATTTGAATAATTTGGATGTACAGTGCAACCAGATGATGTGCTAGAAACAGGTGTGGATGGACAGGCGCAAAAAAGTCGAGGCATCTCTGACCACACGGTCAGAGTCCTGCTGTCAGCCTGGCTATCATCCCTTTTCTTTGAAGCTTGCTGCCGGCTGCCATGGAAATGGGGGGGGAGGGAGCAATGGACATTTGGGAGGGGAAGCGTGCAGGAAGTGGAATTGCTGAGAATCGATGGGGAGGCTGGGACTCAGAGAGGCCAACTCGGGTTGTCTAATATCTTCAAGGCCAAACGTCCTGGGAATGGCACGCGGAGGGTGACGCAGACCACCTGGACCAGAGGCATTATGGGATTATTTTTAATTTGTCTTTTTTTGTGCGTGTTTCTTTCAGACCTTTCCTGACTTTTGCTGCATTCACTTTTTTTCTGAGTAAAAAGTATATTTTCTCTGGATCTGTGAAGTCAAGGATTTTCTTTGCTAGGAATTGATTGGAGGCAGCCCTGATCCCTGTCCCTTTTTTTAACATGCATGACTGTATAGCTGCCATCTTGACTTTATTTGCCCCTGTGCCCCAACTAGAAAATATTTTTGTCATTTGCATATTAAACAAATTAATAGAAAGGAAAAAACAACAACGGGTCAGGTGAATGGGGGGCTCAAACAGATTATTAGAATGTTCTTATAAAAGGTATACATTATAACTAAATTCAGGTCAAGTTTTTGAGCATTTGTCATCAAGAGTCAGATCCAACTTGATGGCATCTCATTCATTCACTCTAAAATACCAGGTGACAGTGTGACACTTGACTCCATGCTTTTTATGGTATACATGAGCACCTAAAAATCATGTAACTATTAGCCATTTATATATGATTAGATTGCTGAATAGCGTATTGCTCTAAATCATAACATGGCTTGGTTTTGCGAGTGTGTGAGCTTCAGCGCGTGCACAATTTTTGGCACAGGAGCCCAAAAAGGTTAGCCATCACTGTCCTATAGTCTCAAGAAATTTATTTTTAATTTGCTGGGATATCTAGAAGGCAGGTGGGTAGCCATTGTTTTTTCTGCAGTCCTAATTATCCTCTGAAGTCTGTGTCTGTCCTGTTGGGTTGCAGAGCCAAACCAGACAGTGATAGAGGTGCAGATGACAGACTCAACAATTACAAAAATTACCTAGTTTCTAGGATTGCAACCCACTGAATCAACGGAGGTGTTTAAGAAACACGTTTACCACTTTTTGCAATATGTAAGATTGTGTTGTAGTCTCACAATTTTCAGTTCAAAGTAGCTCTCCTGTGGCTAGCACAATCCTAGGAGATAGATCTGTTTTCATATTTTTAATAAGTGTTGTAGCCAGTTAGACTCTGGGAAATAATACCGTAGCGATGAGCAAATGTGTTTTCTTTCATATTTTTCTTTCTTTCTGTTAAATAAACCTTGGAACATGGATGTCATTTGTAT